ACAGTAGAGTATGAACAGAGGCGGGCGGGTAGCCATCGTGCTGCCCTGCCCTGCCCTGTCCGTCTTGTCGAAATCATCGATTTGTTTCCTCCTCCTTCTCCTCCTCTTCCTCCTCCTGTTCCTCCTCCCTTCTCGAAATCCTTCATGTCGTTTCTGACGACGCACAGCGAGCAACGAACGAGCGAATCGTTTAGCCATCCATGCAGCCGACCGCCTAATGTGGACTGCTCCACTCCATTACCACCGCTGCTGATCGATGCCGCGTCGTTGGCCCGCCCGTTTGGCATACGATATCTCCGTTACGACGACGACGACGACGACGGCGATCGGTCGCCATCTGCCACCGTGCGTGCCGTGCCGGTAGATCACGCGCCACGGTCCGCCTTCTGTGTTCTCTCCCAGTCCCTTAATCGCCATAAATAATAATCACGAAAGCGTGCAGTAGGTCAGAGCTCATAAATCACGCCCGAGGCTCGCGTTGTTCAGTCCTTTTGAAGTTTCCCCACAACTTCGATCTGTAGTCGAAACGTTCGGCAACTTTTTCCTCATTGAGGAACTCACCGCCATTGAGGACGCAACAAACTCAACGAAATCCTGTTTTCTGATTGGGTATGCCGAATCAGAACTACACAGGGGCGTAGGATGCCACCACGCATATCGAGTATGCAAGTTGTACTGACCGAATAGCAAGAGAACGGCTCTGAAGATGACGCAAATATTTTTTCTATGCCAACGTTATGCCTTCAGAATTTGAGGTCATCATCGATGGAACACCCAACGCTGCATAAATACCAATAATACAACAGGAGAATCAGTCAATCAGCGACACTCAACTGGCAGAGCAGGTTGCCGGTGAGGCATAGAACTACAGAAGACTTGAACTAATACGAATATCATAACGCAGCATTGCCCAGATCAGTCCAAACGAATGAACATGAAACATGACAACAGGAAACCAGTTCAGTGAGTCCGTTTATTGCGCATCAAATGCGATCAAGCATCTTGTCTTAGTGCCATCTGCATTTGTAAGAATTCGGGTTGAAGCTGAAGTGAATGAATATTGACTAAGCGCGATGCAAGAGTCTACGCGTGTTGTTGTGTGTTGCAAATGTGTCATACTGTTGTTAATTGGACACCTGACAAACGCAGGCTATGCTTGGGGTGCAATGGCCACGCATAGTTTGTGAGAACACTGACCGTGACTGACACTGACAGCGAAAATAACTCCGCAGACAAATTTTACAGATCACCTTAAATCCTCAAAGTCATGAGAGGGGGACCTGGGAAGAAGACTGCTCATGCGCATGTGTAAATTGCTGAGACGAATGACATGACAAGAGTGATTTTACTGAATGACGAGAGCCACGTTACATAAAAGGAAACTTTTAGAGTTTTCCAGTTAAGGATTTGACTTTATGTGCCAGCAGATATCAGATCTCAGGATGATTTCAACATGCATTATATAATTTAATGGCCTAACTGTCTCTTTCATTTAATTGCCATTTTGGAAATTGATTTTTCCTGTTTCTTCATTAGGTTTGAAAATTTAACTGAAACATGGAGTAACGTGATGCCTATATAGAAAACTAAGGCCATTATCTCGCTGAGTGCAAGGTCTTCACTCTGCTTATCAGCTGTGAAACCACATTAGAAATGACTGAACTTCTTCCACTTCCACTGCACTATGAGATCTGCGGAAGGTTGAACCGTGGACGTGGCATGAAACAGTCATTTTTCAAATAAATGTCTGAAATGTACATTCTAGGAACATCTGCAGACTCTGACTTTCCTTAGAGTGATAAGCGATAGCGGTAAATTGAAATAGAAGGCACACAACATCCCAAACACGCTGGATATCGAAGTAGGTCTGGCAAATAACTGTAAGAACCGGCTGGTTACCAAGACATATATGACAAGTGTGTAAAACTGCAGTCGACAACGCCACAATAAGTCGCAAACTCCATTTGAAAGATTACGGTACTTTACGGCTCAAGCCCCTACACCTGATACCGTCTCGAATTGCGCAGAAGTCGAGATCAAAATATCATGACAAAGTAGAAGCTGCTTTTGACAAGAGTACTACATGTGCTCATACAACTTAAAAGTCCCTCCATTCCCTCATCCCCACCCCCACCCGTTCTCTAGAAGCAAAAATTCCGTGACTACGCTTTGGTAGCTTTTGAATCCGTGCTGAACTGCAAGCCGTCAGGTAATCTTAGCAAATTCGTTCACCTTGGCTGTCGCTGTTTCTTTGTTATTCTTGCCTACATTAATATGGCAGTTCTAACGACATACCATGAAAGAATTAATTCTTCGTCCCGTTAACTAAAGAAACTTCCAACGAGTTTTAATATTTCATCCCTCCTTTCCTTCACTTGCCTCTGCCTCCTGAACGTCCACTCATCCATTATAATGTAAAAGCCATTCAGTGAAAGATGTTTCGATGGGTGTAGCATGCTAAGAAAAACCCAGTGCAGGAGTCGTAAGGATTTTTAAAAATTGTGTAAATGGAGTTCCGCAAACGAGGCGTGAGTACATGTCACTAAGGCTTAGATTTGAAATTCCGTTAAAAGATTTTCGATCGATTGTCCGCACACCAACTATGTTTACTGTAATTTACAAAAGTTAGTAATTAATGAAAAACATATAGATTCTTTTTTTAGACAGAATTGAACTTTTCTCGTGTCAAGCAGTATTTCACTTTAATCTTGTTGTTCAAAAGGACAGTTCAGAAGTGCAGCAGATATTTATTGAGGGGTGAAACACTTGTTCAGAGTTTATATTCACAGGTCAGACATGGTCATATGCTAACTTCGTGTGCAGATATACGGCATGACAACAAAATTAGCAGCAAAACAATGGCCTAAACAAATCCTCCGTTTGCTGCAACTTGATCGATATTCGCTCATTCGACTGGAAATTGAAGACACGAGGCGCGCGATTTTCTCCTCAATAGGCCTTGTTCTATCTCGGATTATCCGTTTGGTTGGTTTTCAAGATAAACTGCTTCCTAAAATCAAGTGTTTGTTTTCATTACGCTCTTCACGGAGCTAAAATGAGTTTTATATTGCCTTTCCCTGCTACTGACTGTGGGGGATTATTATGGCAAAGCTGCTCTAATGGATTTCTTACGGCGCTGAGCCTGTGTTGAAGTGTTTTGTTTTTCTTTTCGTTCTTTAAGCGTATTGTCTTTGAGAGAATTTCGCTGCTCGATTCGGCCGCCTCCATGCCTCCACATTCATTGCTCTTTGGCGAAACCTTCGGTCACCCCTCACAGTTTCATATTCTTCTTTACAAACAGATAGCCAGCTATTCTTTGGATTTTACCCTTCTTCTCTTCCCGGACAGTAATCAGTCTTCTAATGCTCGTTTGGTCTCCTTTTCATGTTACCGAATCCGCGGAACCTGCTTTAAACAAGTTTTTTGTAACTGGTTCTACACCACTGTAAAGTTTTAATAATTATTAAAATAAATTAGCCAGTCGCATGGTGGATTAGGGAGGATATAGCAGGACATCGTACTCGTTTGAAATTTTATACTGAGCTTTCAATTAGCCGAAGAAAGCAGAAGAAACATGAAAACGTGCATGATAATGCAGATGCAAATGTTGCCAAGATCTTTCAGTTCAGTTTTCAATTCAGTTGAATTTTTTTCTCATCGCCTTGTTGTCTACATTCAACCTTTCTTCTGCTTCAAAGAAGAACAGACAGCAATTATATCGTTTGATTATGCTCTGGAGTGGCGTTCCTTAAATCCCAGTCGCTATGATGGTGAGGAAACTTTGTCATTTCTGTATTGTGCAAGAAAGTAATATGGAAGAAAACGCACATCTCCTCTGAATATGAGTTCACTTATACAAGTTCAGATGTAGGAACCCAGGTCTTTCTCGATGGTCACCAATGATTTGTTATGCGTCGTATAGTTTACCCTTTGAAAGGAGCATAAGATTAAGAAACAGAATAGTTGGCGAATGTCCCAAAGGAAGTTTCCAGAAGAATGAAACTCTGATTTGAAATTTTATATCCTAAATAATGTATTCAAACATATTATTATTAAATTTTTTCTTCAAATGAACTGAAACAATTCCAATCCGGAATAAGTCCACAAACATCTTGCATCTCCGGATGGTCGATCACCTGCTGGAAAAGCCAGGCTTGGTGTATTTGTTCGCCATTTGGATGACGAGTCTTCTTAGAACCAAGGTCACAGAGTCAAACTGTTTTAGGAATGAGCACGAGGGAAAACAAATGCTGCTGAAGGACAAATATATGTGATAGATCAGAAGGGAACGTCGATCTTATTGGTATTTTGGAATCCATAAAAAATATGGATCCCAGCAACCGTTCGCACTCTGTCTGAGTGTCCTAACGATTTTTCTGATCATGGCGACGTTCTGCCTCCGTTTCTTCCTTCTGAAAATTTTATTTTATTTTATTTCTGAGAAATCACACCGCCTACTTTGGAAATTTACTTTTGTCGAATGGAGAAACGCTTATACGAGTTGTCTGAACACGGTGGTACACGACTGTAGCTCCATAGTTATGTTAGCTGGCTCATTTGGATCGCTATATTACATTTTATGAAAAGTGGAACATGGCTTTCGTTATAATATAATAGTGTGAAGGTGGGCGAAGTACGGTATTTATGAATTTCCGTGAACTTTGCCACCCAATGCAGTGCAAGTCAGTAGAAAAAATTTACCATTAGCTTCCACATTGCAACCGTTCACTCTGAAGCATGCGATACCTGTTTTGTGGACGAAGGATCGGTTGTTACATATCGTTAATGTTTTCATTGAACAGCGATACGAGTACCTTTATACTTTTTTACAGTGACAGACCAAATTTGCTTATTTGTCTGAAACTTCCTTAAGAATCTAGAGCATTTGCAGAAAATAAGGGCTTCCAGCCAGCCCCGATGTGGTGCGTGCTTTAATTTGATGATGGCTACGGTTTCTACTCCAGGACCTTCGCTCTTTACCGCAAGAGCCCCCCCCCCGCTCCCCCAGCTTGGTGAGACGTGACAGTCAACCTGTGGTCGTCGTCTGCATCATATTCCCGTTGCTCCAGCGCAGTC